GGACAGCTGCATGTAAATAAATGAAGTTAGAATACCCCTTCACACCACACATAAAAATAAACTCAAAATGGCTTAAAAACTTAAACATAAGATAAGACACTACAAATCTCTTAGAAGAAAATATAGGCAAAACATTATCTAACATAAATCTTAGCAATGTTCTAAAGGCAGTCTACCCAGGCGATACAAATAAAAGAAAAATAAACAAATAGGATCTAATTAAACTCATAAGCTTTTGCACAGCAAAGGAAACCATAAGCAAAACAAAAAGACAACCTATGGAATGGGAGAAAATATTTGCAAAAGATGAGACTGACAAGGGCTTAGTTTCCATAACATATAAACAGTTCATACAACTTAATAATAAAAAAACAAAGAACCCAATCCAAAAATGGGCAGAAGACCTAAACAAGCAATTCTCCAATGAAGACATACAAATGGCCAATAGGCACATGAAAAATGCTCAATATCACTAATTATTAGAAAAATGCAAATCAAAACTACAATAAGGTATCACCTCACATTAATCAGAATGGTCAGCATTCAAAGTACACAAATGATAAATGCTGGAGAGGCTGTGGAGAAGAGAGAACTCTCCTACACTGTTGGTGGGAATGTAGTTTGGTGCAGCTGTTATGGAAAATAGTATGGCGATTCCTCAAAAAAACTAAAAATAGACTTATCATATGATCCAGCAATCCCACTCCTGGGCATATATCCAAAGGGAACCTTAATTCAAAAAGACACATCACCCTAATGTTCATAGCAGCACTATTTGCAATAGCCAAGACTTGGGAAGAACCTAAATGTCCATCAACAGATGATTGAATAAAGAAGCTGTGGTATATTTATACAATGGAATTCTACTCAGCCATAATAAATAATAAAATAATGCCATTTGCAGCAACATGGATGGACATGGAGGTTGTCATTCTAAGTGAAGTAAGCCAGTAAGAGAAAGAAAAATACCATCTGATATCACTTATGTGTGGAATCTAAAAGAATGACAAATGAACTTATTTACAAAATAGAAACAGACTCACAGACATAGAAAACAAACTTATGGTCACCAGAGGGGGAAGGGAGTAGGAAGGGACAAACTGAGAGTTCAAGATTTGCAGATACTAAGTACTATACACAAAATAGATAAACAACAAGTTCATACTGTATAGTAGCACAGGGAACTATATTCAATATCTTGTAGTAACCTATAATGAAAAGGAATATGAAAATGAATATATGTATGTAGATTTATGACTGAACTATTATGCTGTACACCAGAAATTGATACAACATTGTAAACTGACTACCTCAATAAAGAGTAAACATATATGAAGATTAATAAATTCACAGAATTCACAGATAGCTCCCAAATTTATGTCTCCAAGACCAGCCTTTCTCCTGAGCTCCATGGTTGAACATCCAACTACCTACTTGACAGCTACATTTGAATATTTGATTCTGAATATGTTAATTTGGGGTGTTTATTTCATCTTCAAGTTTTTCCTCTGGTCTTCCTCCAGCTTGGTAAATGGCACCACTACTTATCAGATGCTCCAACCGAAAACCTTCTCCACAAAAGAGTTTGAGTCTCTTAAATACAAATATATATACATACACACGCACACACACACACACACACACACACACACGCCCCAGAACACATCTTTTATCAGTTTAAAAATATTTCAGCGTTCAGTTGCTCTTAAGAGTAAAATCCAAAATCCTTACTTTAGGCTGACAGGTCCTCTCATCACGAAGCTCCAGCTTCGGGCCTTTCTGGTCTAAGCAGGGCGAGGAAAAGATAAAGTGAGACACCTAGAATGTAAAATATAAGAATTTACAGGTCCCTGAGAGTGTGTTAAATTTTACCCCCTACAGTCTTCACGTGCCCCACCTCAGTTCCGGGCCTGTGTGCAAACTTTTTGCTGCCTTAGGGCCTTGGTACTAACCATCTCCTCCATCAAGAGAGCTCTGCTCTCCCACTTTTTATGAGTGGCTCCTTCTTGTCATTCATTACCCTGCTTAGGTCAACTACACTATAATAAAAAAAACAATACTAAGAATGGTAGCTAAGATTTATTTACCTTTTACTTTGGCTCTATTCTAAGACCATTACTTTATTTAATCCTCCAAACAATCCTGTATGGTGTTACTATCGTAATCTCCATTTTACAGGTTAGGGTATTGATGCAGAAGAGGCTAAGTAAATGGCCCAATAGCATATAGCTACTGGTAGTAAGTGACTGGCCAGGAAACAACCTAAGTGGTTTGACCCCAGAAACCAAGCACTTGTTTATTTCCTTTGGGTAACCTACAATCTGCAATAGTCCTGTTTGTTTACTTGCTTATTGACTTTCTTCACTAAAATGCAAGTTCTATGAAACAACTTGGTTTGATTTTGTCTCCCCAAACTTAGTTGCATCTGGCTGAGCTCAGTGATCCACAGCATTTATAAAGAAATACAGGCCTGGCTCCCAAATAACCAAACTACTTACAAATACTTACCTATGAAAACCTCTGAAGTAAACAATTTCAAAATCTTACATCAAAGACTCTTTAAGAAAAAAAATTGCAAAATTTTCTAAGAATGGTGCATGGCTATCTTTATTTATTTATTTATTTACTTACTTACTTACTTACTTACATGGAGAGGTAATTAAGTTTATTTAGTTAGTTAGCTTTTTGATTGAGGTACTGGGGAACTCTGGACCTCGCACATGCTAAGCATGCGCTCTACCGCTTGAGCTATACCCTCCCCCCATGGCTACCTTCTTTTAAAGTTATCTTTAGGTAACTTTTAGGCCCAGTTTCTTGATGGGTCTACTTTTTTTGTGTGACGGCAAAATAATCACTGTGTTACCAATATTTTACCTATAAGTCACATGCAGAAAAGTGAGCGTGGGCTTTCACCTGGAATTCTTTTTATTATTTACCCTCTGAAAGTTTAAACCATTTCTTCTTCCCAGCTCTCCTGATCCAGTGTCTCCCCAGCTCCTCCCCTTTCTCGACTATTTCCTTTCGAGCATCTACACTATCTACCTGGGAAAGTTTCCATCTTCTAAAGTTTCTAAATCTATGATGAGATCACACGGAATTTAAAGGAAGACTTCTCCTGGCTCCTTTCAGCTCCCATTTGCCTGCTGACTTCATGAACGTATGGGTGATGCTCCTCAGGGATGTGTTCTAGCCAACAGCACTGGCCATGGAGCACATGTTTGACAGTGGTTTTGGCGGAGGGCCGGAGCTGGGGGTGGGGGGAAGGGCAGGTGATGGAGACGGGAGCGAAAGCCTAGTATTCTGTGACATTTAAACCTCTATTCTGCTTCTGCCACGGCTGAGGCAATACTTAAAGAGTAAGAACTTCATCATTTAGCACATACCCTAAAAAGAATGAAGGGTAAGGTCCTGAAAGGAACTGGAAGCACTGGCCAGGAGGTCAGCCTGCCTGCCCCGACAGACGCGCCAGTTTTCCTCTACCACAGCCTCAGGGATGGTGGACGTGGGCCCGGGTGCTGCGCGCAGTCACGCGCCTGCGCCCGAAGGCCCAAGACCCCAGCGCTCTCGCGTCGCGCCTTCCCGCGCAGCCCTTCCTGCGTCACCCTACGCGCTCCGCAGTGCGCAGGCGCCGAGGGAGCAGGCGGGCTGACGTGCAGCCAGTGCGGCGGGGAGCGGCCTAGCGGGCATGGCGGCAGGTCCGCTACGCGGTCTGGCAGTGGCCGGAGGAGGCGAGAGCAGCGAGAGCGAGGACGACGGCTGGGAGATTGGGTATCTCGACCAGGCAGTTCAGGTAGCACCTGTCTTGACCGCACCTGGATCGGCCTCCCCTGACCACGAAACCTCTTACTTCCTTGCCTTACGTTTCCCTAACTTTTTTTCCAGTGGAATTACAGGCTTTTGAACTCCCGACAAACTCGCAAAGTTTCTGTTCCCTACTGTGCTTCCCATCAAATGCGCTTCTTTAGGTTGTCGTTGTAATTCTTCACTTGGGTTTGGATCCATTCTCTTTAAAGATAATTTTAGTTACGAATTAATCGCAAACTTTGTATGTTGCCATCTCTCCACCCCCACCCCCCAGATATACCCAAAACCAATCATTATTGTTTCCTGATTCGGCGGAAATGAAAATATATGTAACGAGATTTTTGTTTTTAACTTTCTGCTGTTTTAGAAATTGAAAAGACCGTTACCCGTTGAAGAAAAGAATGAAACATTTAAGAAAGCATTGACCACGGGAGATACTTCATTGGTGGAGGAGCTCCTAGATTCTGGTGAGAGTTAAGGGATAGTTTCGCGGTAACATGGTTGTCTTGGTTCATAAGGATTCCTTATTTTTAAAAATTTTGAGTTGCTTTTGTAATGGAAGCTTAATGAATGGTAGTGTATCAAGTGTCCTACATCTTACTTGACTCTGAATTCTCTCTGCCTTATTTTCTTCATCTACCCACAAATTTGGAATGTCACCCAATATCCTTCCATCAGCTCTTCCACCTCTTTCAAAAGGTCTATTCTGACTAATCTTACCCGACTTTGATAATTCTTACTTTTCTCAGCATTTACTTGGCTGTATTTATTATTATGTGTATCTCAAGGATTGTTTCTAGTTAATGTACATTTTAGTTATGTTCTTTGCCTGTGTTGGTTGTGTGTGTGTGTGTGAATGAGGACTGAAGTAGGAATTAATATCTGGATACCTCTTACAGCCTTCTGCCTACTCAGTGTGGTTCCTTGGGAAAGTCATTTAAACTTCTAGAGCATCAGTTCCCTTATGTAAAATATCATGGGCCCCATGACATTTTTCTGTTTGTCAAATTAGATATTATTTTTTTGAATTCCCTTTACAACGAAATGTGAGTTGTTGATAATGACTGAAATTATCCAAAGGAGTAACAAGCATTTACCATCTACTTGTAAATCCAAAACATTCACACATAAAACCATATATAGCAAGATGGTTTTTTCTATGATAGAGATACTGCATGGTTTAGCGGAAAGTCAGTCATTTTAGAAATAGTACATTTCTGGGTTTAATTACCAACCCTACCACTTGATAACTCTGTGATCTTGACCAAGTTTGGAAACTCGTAAGCTTCAAGTTTCCCCTTTTTAAAACCAGGATGCATTATATCAAAGGGTTAAAATGAGAGAATACATAAAGGCCTTAGGGCATGTAGGCATTATATAAATATTAGCTGTTGTAGGGCATGTAGGCATTATATAAATATTAGCTGTTGTAACAAATAAGAAGGATCATATGACTTTGCGGACAGTGGCACTTGAGTTCATAATTGAAGAATTAAGTTGAATAAAATTTGAATAATTGAAGGAGGTCTAATACTATGATATGGACACAAGCGGGAGTGTGCATAAAGTTGGGTGGGATGGAACAGGCAGAAATTCGTTTTTAGAAAAGAGAGTTTGCCTTGGGAGTAGTGGGACTAGGTGCAATGAAATGGTGGAGGCTTTTGAAGGATTAGGACTTGAAAAGAGCCCACTGGTAAGGTAAGTATTTAGTCAATCTTTCAAATTTTAAGTACAAAAAATGTTTAATGTCGTTTTTAAAAGCCAGTAACAAATAAATAGGTATAAGCAGAAAAATACCTTTGTCTCCACTTTTCACCCCCCTATTACTCTGAAGTCTCTCACAAGTAATTCCTGTTTTAGCATTTCTTGGTTTCCTTCCAGATGTCATTATTTAACACGTTTAAAAGTATTTTTAATTGTGTGCCTTTCAAAGTCATTCTTACTTTAGATACATATTTCTGCAGCAGTTGAGAAGTTGAATAAAAAATGAAAGCTCCTTTTAAGTCAGCCAGTTTTAATGGCTCAAAGAGGTCTCCAGTTTTTACTTTTCAGCTGTGCACTAAAGCTTTCTGTTCTCTTTAAATTATTAGACATTTTCAGCATTCAGAAAGGATGGAGACTTATCTTTTTCCCACTGGAGATTACCATTCTTCTACATTTGGTATTTATAATTCCTATGAACATCTTTATGTTTCTACTATATATGCATTTACCCCAAAACAATATAGTGTTATTTTGAATGTTTTTGAGCTCTGTATGTATATTGTCAATCTTTCTAAACTTACCTTTTTTTTACACTATGCTTAGAACATAATATGTGCTTAATAATTTATTTTTTTGAGTTTAGAGGTGATGATAGTTAAGAATTTTTGTACTGAAATGCTACATGTGCTCATCTTCACACCATTTCCTTTTTACTCTTGCTGTCACATTTTGAGCAGTAATGTCAATAGGGAAAGGATAATGAGGGAAAAAAATGATCTTTTCTCTGATCTCATTCATACGCTTTCAGTTGCAGCAGTTTAGAGAAGAAAATTTGTTAGAGAAGACAAGTTGGGCCATCAGTATATGTATGTACTAAGTTTTATGTTGTTTTCTACCGGTAATTATCATGCACCTTATATCAATTAAAGTTAGTTTGGGAATTTGATGTACATAATCTTTCAACAACTTAGTGTTCCTACAGAAAAAACCCGAGTCCTCCCCAACAAGTTTGCACTTTTTCAGTGATACGACCTTCATTTTTGCAGATGGAACATTTTATAGCCAGAGACTATAAAACCTGTAAATTATTAGGTGTTAAAGGCAGGCCTATGTTCAGTGGTTTTCACATACAAGTTTTCCTTCTTCAAAACAAAAAACATTCTGTTTTCTCTCTTGTCTTAAGATTAGCCAATATTTCTTAGGTTGAAGGGAGAGTTTGCCACTTAAATCTTGATCTCTTTATAGCAAATGCTTTACATAAATCTAATAGGTTGTGTTCACTGCCTCACTGTAATCTTGTCCTTGAACCTTTTCTCCTATGCTCCTCCCCAGTCTTAGATCCAAATCTGGATCAGTTCAACCTTTTTTTTCTGTTTTATGTGACCAAACCAATCAGTGCTATTGGGGAAAATCAGATCACTTCAAGGATTTGTACCATTCATGATTTGAGGATTTGAAGGTCAGCTGGCTTTTGGCCTTTCTTAACAATTATTATCTTTTCCTTCCTGTCCCAGTCTGGATGGTAGCTATTTAAAACTTGATCCTACTCCTCAGGGCTGATGTCTCGTCTGTGCCTCTCCTTATTCTAGCTCACTGTTCATTCATTTGTTCAAAGCAGAGCTTGATGGTTATTTTCTGTTTGTCTTTTTCCAACACTCCTCTTCCTCAAATAATTTTAAATTCTGATAACCCTGCTTTCAAAATGTCTTTTTGTATTCCTTCTTCACTTTCTCCACTGCCCTTGCACTGACTTTTGTGTGGACTCATAACCTCCTGTCCCACTTTCAGCAGTGGCACCTATATTGTCTTTATAATTCAGATATAATAATGTAGATCTTTGGATCACAAAGTGCAGTCTACATTTCTTAACAGAGCTTTCATAATCTAACCCTAACCTACCTTTTTAGCCTCATGATTGGCCAGTCATGCAAGTTTTGTGTTGGGAAAGAAGTTAAGGGAGTTTTAATAAGGAATCTATTTGGTATTTGCCACCATAGAGATGTATGATGATATTCTCACTAGAAATATATTTTACCTCTGTGAAACTGTTTCCAACTACCTTAGAGAGTAAAAGGTAGCATGTAAGAACCTGTTCTAATACAGATATTTATAGATTATATGATAAAACATTTGTCAGATCTGGTCTCCTGGAACATAATGAAACTGAAGTGAACTATAGTGAACTACAGTGAAACTGAAATTAGCTATTTTATCAAAGTCTGTATACAACTATTTTCTATTTTTCTGAAGCCATTATTATCAAGAAATTCCCTACCATTATGAAGTACATGGTGTATGTTGCTTGGTGTGGTATTTTAAGCATATTAAGTTGACAATGATTTTTTTTTTAATGGATGAGGCTTTTAAAGGCTTGTTTTTATGTTGACAGGAATCAGTGTAGATTCCAGCTTCCTGTATGGCTGGACTCCCCTTATGTATGCTGCTAGCGTTTCCAATGTGGAGCTGGTCCGGGTCCTTTTGGACAGAGGAGCTAATGCAAGCTTCGTTAAGGGTAAGATGTTTTAAATGCTTAAAATATGTGAAAATTTAGTTTGTACATTTCTCTGTTTAGAAGCCTAATTATGTTCTGTTTGAGGGTGGTGATATGTAGTTTCCATGGTCTGTTTTCATACATTCACTTTAAAATAAACCTTTGTCTTTGAAAAAAATAATAATAAGGGTAAGTTGTTTGAGGTAACTTAACTGATTATGTTTGCTGAGATTTTCTTGATTCCCAAGCAGCTATTATGCAAAGTGAAAAAAAAAGCAGTTTTCTAAGAAAAAAAAAACCCTTTCTATTAATTTCATTATACAAATAACACACAAAACGAAATTAGAAACCACAGATACTTTGAAGAACTCTCTTTCTAGAGAGGTAGATTCCATTTATGTCATTGTTATATCTGGTTATGTTTACTACATATCTTTAACTTCTATGCTAGAAGGTTGGGTTATTTTTAAGGCAAAAATGCATTGAATGAAAACATCAAAAAGCTGATAATTTAGTTGCTTGAAAATCAATCTTTGGAATTTACAACTCAACTGTGAATTGTATCACTTAAAATTGTTTCAAAAATATTTATTAAATCCAGTTGTTTCTGTGTTTGTTACTAAATAATTTCTACCAGTAGTGCTTTAGTTGCTTTTGAAGAATTAGAGTATATGTGCAAATTCTTAATTATTCTATTGAATTACTGATTATTTTTAACATTTCTAATAGATAATTAAATTCATTTCATAATTCAGGTATAGGTTTCATTTTAGAATTAATTTACATATTAATTTTGTACTACACTAGATATTTGTAAAGCCATTTCTATTCTGTTTTCTCATTTATATATTTTATATAAATTCCTGTCTTACCTAGTTTTATGTTTAATTTGCTGCTGTGATAGGTTTTTCTTTTTTATTATGTCATTTAAAAATATTATCAATGAAAGCTATACTTAGGAATGAGATTTTTGAAAGTGTATAAGATATTCTGCTCAAAAAATGGATTAATAGTTTTTTCTCTGCTTCTTATAATCAGAAGAATACTTTATAGTTATAAAATACTCTTATCTCTTTCCCAGCATGTTCACATAGATTCTTTTATGTATCCCACAATGGCCCCAGTCATGTAGAGGGCAGACATTAGCTTCTTATCTATAAATTAGGTCTACTAAGATATCACTGAAGTCAGTTTATGAGTGGCAGAACTGGGACCATAATCTATATTTCTATGTTTAGTCAGTATTGAACCACTAAATAAACCATGGCTGCATGACCTATTTTTAATTCCCCATTTCTTACTTGAGAATTGTTTTTTGTTTTGTTTTGTTTTTTAATTTTCTCTGATCTCTGTTGATGCCGGAGGAGCCAAGGGAAGAAGAGTTTTAGGAAATGGGATGAGCTGAGAGGTCAAGTAGAAAAGGCCTAAAAAGAAACCAATAAATGTGGCAGTTAGGACGTCTTCAGTAGGATGGTTTGGGCATAAGCCAGGTTTGTGTGAGATGTCAAATGAGTGAGAAGTAAAGAAGTGAATCAGAGAATATCGATCATTGTTTCTTAGCCATGTGGTCAAGTTGAATTTTGATCAACCAAAAACTATTCAACTCTAGGCAGTATCTCTGCACAGAGTCCATGTTCTGAACCACTTTTCTGTTCTCTTGAAGAAATGAGACTAGGGAAAAGAAGTTAAGAAATGAGTTGTAGATATACTTTGGAAATTAAGACAATTCATTCCTGATCTCATTTTTAGGGGGAAGGAAGACAAAATTATCTGCTAAGAACAAGAGATATGGGAATAGGTTATAGAATTCTAAGAATGCAGTAAATAATTAGAATCTTTTGAATAGTGAAAGAAGTCAATTAGCTACACTCTGTGATGTGATGTGGGGTTTTCCTCACTTTTCTTTTCACTATAGATAAGCAGACTATTTTGATAACTGCATGTTCTGCTCGTGGCTCTGAAGAACAGATTTTGAAGTGTGTAGAGCTGCTACTTTCAAGAAATGCTGATCCAAATGTTGCTTGTAGGTAAGAAGCTTAGTATTTGTTTAAAAATGATGAAGATACTTTTCTTTGATTATCAGCCTGTTAAACATTTAACAGCATGTGGGTTTTTTTTTTTAAATCATGAGCAATGTGTGTTTACTTAGCCATGTAGCTGATGAATGAAAATACGTCATAACATCATGGTTACTATTGTATAAGATTATCAGAGGAAGCACTTATCATCAAAGTAGTCTTGCAACTTTTAATTTTTAGAGGAATTTCCTAAGAAGTTTAAATGACAAGGAAAGTGGGATAAAAAATTGTATCATTTTCCTTTGAATTACACACTCAAAAGAATATGATGATTGAGCTATAACAGCAAAGCCTCTTTGCTTAGTATTCTTTCTGTGTAACACTAGAAATTGTTTCCCCACTAAACAATTTTACACAAACAATAAGCATTCCAGAATAATATACCAATTAAGGCTTTTCCTACGGCTTTTCCAATTAACTATCCATTTTCCTGAGACTTTTCCAATTAACTATGTTATAGCATGTATTAATAGTGTCTAGATACATAGAAGATGAGATATATCTTGCATCTGTTAAAATTTCAGTAATTTAAAAAAATGATTCAGATTGCTTAAAATTTCTATCATTGACTTCCTTCTTGTCTGGCTTCATCTTCCTGTTAAATCTCTTTCTCCTTTGTTTAACCTTCAAAATGAAGCAAATGGGAGGTAGCCCATCCAACAGAAATATGTCTAGTGTAAACAGAATTATTATTTATAATTCATTAATTCAAATAATAATGGTCTAATGCCTGGTATATAGAAATAACTAGGCTTGACTCTGGAAGGTTTTTGTTTTCTAGTTTAGCTTAGTTTCTTGACCTGTACAGCCTTGGGAGGTACTATACAGCTTTAGATGAGTCCCAGATATTTCTGACATGCAGAGATTTTGATTTAGTAGAATGGTTCAAGTAGGGTCTGTTTGGTTCCCCAGTGGATAGTTAGCAGTGTCTGGAGACAGTTTTTGATTGTCACATCTGGGAGATGCTACTGGCATCTAATGGGTGGAGGCCAGGGATGCTACTAAACATCCTGCCGTACATAGGACAACCCCTCAAAACAGAGAATTGCCCATCCTAGAATGTCTGAAGTGCCAAGGTTGAAAAATCTAGTGTGAGAAAAGTTAAAGCTTATAGAGTGGATAATCAGTATTTAAGAAATAAGAATTTAAAAAGAACTGGGAAAGAAACACCTGTAGATTCCTAGAAAATCAGTTTTGTCGTTTGTAGTATAATCCCTAGTTAGGTATAACTTTTGAATCTGATTGTACCTTGGAATTGGGAACTCCAGGATACCTTGCTGAAGTAAACTTCAACGGGTGTTATAATTTTGATTTTGTATTTTCAGAAGTGGCTTATGATAGGACTTGCCTCTCTGGATTAATTGGAAGATTATTTTTTGTTGGTGCTCTTCAATTTTTTTAACTACATCTACAGATAATATAGATACTGAAGACTTTTACCTTCCCAGTCATTTGCTATCTTGTAAACAATCTGAAAGAGAAGTCAAGTAAGCTAGTGTTATAAATTCTATTCTGTTTCCTTAAGAAATAGGTGTCCTTTAGATACATAGGAAATATTTGGGAAAGAAACATATTTCACTTGAATTAAAATAATACCAGGTTAGCATCTCAAGCTAAAACTATAAGGCAGCCACACAATTTCAAAACTGAAAACCTTAGAAAACTTAATGAATTAGATAGAATATAAGATTTAGATTGGTATGTACTCAACTAAAATAGAGAATTTTACAGCACGGCTGAAGAAAAGAGCAGTCTGCATCTAATTAACAAATGTGAGAAAATACCTGAAAAAACAAACTATTCAACTGCTTTTATTTTAATGCTCAAAGCATAAAGCAATAAAATGATTGAATTGTGTTTTCTTGCAGAAAATGAAGTTCTTGGTAGAGCTAAAAAGAGAGTAAGTCGTGGCAAGCAATGTTTGAGGCTTCAAATTTTATAAGGATAGAGTTAATGGACATGTAGGGATAGCACGCTGGCAGTCTGAAAGAAACAATCTTAGGACACAGGAGAGAGCCATGAGATTTGGGGGAATTTTATAGATAATTCATTAGCAGGGGCAGAAACTGAAACCTATTAGAAGATTGAGAGTTTGAGGTGCATGTAAAAATGCCAGAACATACAAGGGATACATGAAGGAACTACTATTCAGATGTAAAAGAAAAAAAGATGTTTAAATGAATTTACCCTCAAGAGGCTGATGTAGCCTCTTGTTGAACAGTTCTTGTGCTGAGAAAAATTACCTCTCAAGAAAAAGAGCATGGGGAAAAGAGTCAGCTGTGAAACGCAAATGGATAGTTTTTGTGAAAGCTTGATGGTTATATATATGCCAATTGCGAAGGACGTTGACTTGTAACTACTTTTTTTTTTAACTAAAATGAAATCAGTAGTCATGCTTCATAAAGTGAAAGTAATAGAAAAGTCTTAAGAGATCACCTCTAAGCTAGAAGACAAGTAGCAGTTTCGATGTATGAAGTAGCATCGTAACCCTTCTGTGTTCTATGGACATAACTCAAAAGACGGGGTATTTGTTTATAATATGGAAAAAAGAAAAGGAGGGTTTACCTGTTTTAGAAGCAGGAAGATAATTATAGGTCCTATAATGGAAGTAAATCACTTAAATCAAATATACCACTTGGTTCTGTTTGCACTAAAAGTGAATAGAAGAATAAAAATTATGAGGAAACTACTGAATTTCCTATACTTAATTAGAGGTCTTGCTGAACGGTTTGGAGGAAGCTCTTTCATAGTTTAAAATTTTTTTATTGTGTATAATTTATGTACTATGAAGTATTCAGATTTTCATTGTACAGTTGGATCAGTTTTGACAAATGCATACATTCGTATAACTCACACCCCAAGACAGAACATTTCTGTCATACAAAAATGTTCCTTCATGCCATTCCCCAGGGCTCTGGAACTTATTTCTATCACTATTATCTTCTGCTATTCTAAAATGCTATATAAATATAATGATACAGAATTTTTGTGTATGTCTGATTTTTTTCACTCAGGATGATTTTTTAAGATTCATCCATGTTGTGTGTATCAAAAATGTGTTATTTTTTATTGCTGAGTAGTTTTCCATTGTATGGATATTTTGTACTGATTTAAAGAGGTGTGACAGAGTCTTTATGGTCTGACAAAAATAACTGACCCAATAAGGCAGAACAGTGATTGGCTTGGAAATTGAAAGAAAAGACAGAGCATATATTAAGAAGCTGTAAAATTGTTAGAATACTTGAGTAGGCATATTTGAAAGCATGTTATGGCTTGCTCTGTGCTAAGGCAGCATTGAGTGCTGACAACATAGTGCTTGTTTCTCTGTCCCTAGGGCTCCTGGTAGTAAGTCCAAGCACTTCTGGCTAGTCCCTTAGCTTGTCTTCCACAGTGTTTTTCATTTCACTTTCTTGAATCCTCTCCAGATTCCTATGTCTTTTCCTCTAAAGTTTTCATAAAACTATTAAGTCCTGCCTGCCCCCTTTCCTCCCTTCCCCAACCCTCTTTTCTTCTTTTCTTTAAATTTTTTTATTGTCGTAAAATGTCTGTAACATGAAATTTGCCAATTTAACCATTTTTAGGTGCACAATTTAGTGTATTTTTTACTGTAAACTTTTGCCCCAGGTGTCTGAGGCTTGCAGTCTTTTTGAGCAATGCTCACTTTTCTAGCCTGAGTTCTGAGTTAAGCTAAAAGTCTTGTGTCAGTTCTCCATATAGCTGTGACTGTCTGCTTCTTTGTTTTACCTACTGAATGCTTATTGGTGTTTGTTGTTTGATTTGCTCAGCAAGTCATTTGTATATGTGTGCTGAACATCAGTATCACTAATTGCTCTTAACATCGTTTTAAGCTTTTCTTTTACTTCTCTAGTCATTCTAGTTCATTGTTATGGTGAACATTTAATAATACTCAGATTTATTAGAAAAGGATTATTTAAAAGAGCGACTCTCATCTGCTTTGAAGTTTTATGTTGTTCACAAACTTTTTATGTAAGTAGGCTTTTCAAATCTGTTAATACATTTGATTCCTAGATGTTCATGTATTTTGGCTAAATTTCCTTAGTTTCTTCCAACATTTCTCTGTTTCATCTTGAAAATAGCTAATGAAAAAAATCCATTTAATGTAGTAGGTATCATTAAGGTATCTCCATCTGCCGTGTCAAGCATTATGACAAGCTTCTTCTAAATTTTGGGTGCCTCAGTTCTGGAGAAGCCTCATCCATTATCCCTACAAATATGACCTCTGCCCTGTTCTTTCCTCTCTTTCTGGGTCTCTGATTGTCTATCTGTTAGACCTTCTCACTGTATCCACAAAGTCTGCCTTCTTTATTATCCATCTTTTTCTTTCACCATACCACATTGTGGATAATAGCATCTAATCCGCCTTCTAGGTCACTGAGTCTCACTTCACTTGTTTCTAATGTATTGTTAAACTCGTCAATTGAGTTCATAATTTCAGTTACTTTTTTTATTTCTAGAAATTCTGTTTGATTCTTTTTAAAATAGGCAGTGTTACTTTTTATATCTTTTCCTCCCTCAAAATATTTTCAAACTCTAAATCAAAACTTCTTTAATATGGTAAACTTACAGTCTGGATGTAACAGTTATAGTATCTGAGATCTTTGTGGGTTTGTTTCTGTTAGCAGTAGTATCTCATGCTTCTTACTCATGATGAGGTGCTAGTCACTAGATATTAAAACTTACTTGTAGAAATAATATGAGGCTACAGTGATCCAGCAGAGAGGGTTTTGTGTATTTCTTAAAGGTGACCTATCAGTCCAGGACTCATGTAATCTAAGTTCAGGAGCTGAAGTTTCCTGAACCATTTTGCTGGTATAAACCTAAATAGCTGGTTTATTTCTGGTTCGTCCTTACCCTGAAGGTGTAGCCCTTAGAATCTCAGCTTAATGTCTCTTGAGTATGGCTTAGTAAACTCTACCTTGTATAGACCT